CCAGTATGAGTGACAAAACTTAACAGTGTACAAGAGTTTTATCCCACAGCATACTCCTGTATGTGATCACAAAAAATTCACGTGCATCTTTACATGCAGGATATTAGCAACCTGCAAAGTAAATTAAAAATAAAAACAACTCTAGTTTTGACCTACTGATTAAAAGCACTTGCTGCTCTTGAAGGGGACCTGAGGTCAGTTCCCAGAACCACAGTGTTAAGTAACCCACAATTCCTGTAATTCCAGGTCTGGAGACCTGACAGCCAGGTCTGATATAATGGCTCAAGCCTGTAATCCCATCATTGAGGCAGAGGATTATCACCAAGTGAGGACCAGCCTGGGCTAAAGAGTGAGCTACTATTTTAAAAAGCAAACAAAGGATTCAAGCATGGTAGCCCACACCTTTTATCCCAGCACTCAGGAGGGAGAGGCAAGCAGACTTCTAAATCTGAGGCCACCCTCGTGTAGAGCAAGTTCCAGGACAGTCAAGACTACACAGAAAAACCCTGTCTCAAAAACAAAAACAAAAAAGAGGCAGTGGTGAAACATGTTTTTATCCCAGCACTTGGGAGACAGAAGCAGTGGATCTCTGTGAGTTCGAGGCTAGCCTGGTCTACAGAGTTCAAAACAAAACAAAACAAAAAGCGCACAAATGTATTTCCTCTGTAACTAAGTACTGAACCTCCCTTCAGGCATGCTAAGCAAGCATTATACCACTGAGAGTTAGAACCCTTCAGACCCTCCACTTTGATTTCATCTGGTCTGTGGAGCTTTTAGTTTAGGAGCTTTTTTTTTAAACATTTATTTTTTAATTCATTTTACATTCCAACCAAGGTTCTCCCTTCCATCCCTCTTCCCAACAGGTAAGGGCTCCCATGGGGAGTAGATAAGAGTTTGGCACATTAATTTGGGGCAGGCCCAAGCCCCTCCCCTCTGCGTTAAGTCTGAGTATGGCATCCCTGCATAGGGAATGGGCTCTAACAAGCCAGCCAGGAGCTTATTTTTAAGACACAATACAAGAACATGGAAATTACATGAAACTCAAGTTCAAGTATCCACACGACTCATCCACTCGTCTACTTTATTATTGTTGTTTATTAAATTACGTGTGTACCTGAGTGCTTGGAGATCAGAAGACAAGTTGCCAAAGTCTGTTTTCCATCCTTCCGCTATGTAAGTTCAGATGATCAAACTGTCTTCAGGTTTGGCAGCAGAAACCTTCACTGCTGGTCCCGCATCCGCTATTTTCTCTATCTGCTTTCTGAGTGGACAGGATTGAGTAGTTGTGTCTAAAGTATTTATTTCTCATCATAAATGCATTCCAGGGGCTGGAGAGATGGCTCAGCAGTTAAGAGCACTGGCTGTTCTTCCAGAGAATGGGGTTCAATTCTCAGTGCCCATCTGGTAGTTCACAATTGCCTGTCACTCTAGTTCCAGGGGATCCAACACAGGCATACATGCAGGCAAAACACCAATGCACATAAAATAAAAATAAAACTCCCCCCCCCACCCCCCAGTGCTGGGATTAAAGGGACACGTGTACCACTACCACCTGATTTTTTGTTTTGTCTGTTTTTTGAGAGGACAGGGTTTCTCTGTGTAACTGCCCTGGCTGTCCTTGAACTCTCAGATAACCGCCTGTTTCTGCCTTCAAGAGCTGGAATGTAAGGCGTGGGCCACCACCGTCAGGCAAAATTACAAAGAGAGAGAGAGAGAGAGAGAGAGAGAGAGAGAAAGAGAAATAGACAATTGTATTCCAGAACTGGAGTATGAGTGAAAAATAAAAAGGGGCATGCTGCTCCTAGGTATGGTGGAGAAGAAAGATTATAGGGGGGATAAGGGGAAGACCATAGGTAGAAGCAGAGACATCTGGGAGAGTCCGAAGTGGACTTGACCAGACTGAGCTGGGCTATGTGGGGAAAGGGTGAAGGAAAAGGAGAGGGAAGAGCCGGGAACCAGGCGACGCAGCCTGGAGGTCGAAGGCACAAAAAGGAGCGGGTGACTAAAATGTCCAAATGTCTTCTCTCTATAGGGAAGAGCCTCTGGCAGAAGGGCAGCCCATCACCTGGGCTGGAGAGTCAGGGCAGAGGGCAGGGTATGCCCGCCGTAGGAACTGAGGCATGCTGGGAGAACCTGGGTCATGTCCGCTTCCATAATCAGGCACATCAGGCATTTTTCCCGGGTTTGAAGTTAACAGGGTATAACTGAGTTGGTAGAGTGGTTGCCTGATATCCAACAACTTATGCTGCCAGCAAAACTACACTCAAAGACGAACAAAAACAAAAGACCCCAGGTCCCACAGGGTAGGAGGGGACCGAACCGACTCACTCAAGTTCTCTTCTACTCCAGCCACGAACCCCCTGCCCACCCACGTAGGCCAGATAAGTTTAATTTTATTTTCTTTCTTTTTTTCGAGGCAGGGTCTATGTAAACCTGGCTTTCCTAAAATTCACTTTGTAGATCAGGTTGGCCTCAAACTCAGAAAATCCACCTGCCTCTGCCTCCGGGGAGCTGGAATGGACGGCAAGAGCCGTGCCCTGCCAAGTGTAATTTTAAAAACAAATTAACACACCGGGGAAGCAAAAAACAAACACCACAGGCATGGACCGCACGGTAGTGCACGCCTTTAATTCCGGCGTAGTTCACTCGGCAGGTGGAAACTGAGGACTTGGCTACAGAAGACCGGTCTTCCAAAATTAATTAATTAATTAAGGACAAAAATAGAAGCACAACAAGGGGCAAGAGTGCCCTCTCCCGGCTACAGTCTGCCCAAGGTCAAGGGAGCCCGCAGGGGTCTACACGCCGCACGACCCTCCCCGGAGTCCCAGGATTCTCGAGGCCCCGGGTCCTTCCCGGAAACCGGAAGAGACGTAAAGAAGGCGGGGCTGAGTTTTAGAAACCGGACCGTGAAGCTTTGCGCTTCCTCTTTCCTGCCAGCGCCGAGCGATGGGTGAGTGTTGCTGTGGGCCGGGTCGGGCTGCGGGGAGCGAGCGCCATCCGTCTCCATCCTGCCCCGCAGCCCTGCCAGGAGCATGTTCGGCCAGACCGTGGGCCACGAGCACCCGTGGGGAGGGCTGGCCGTGGGTTTGGGCCGCCGAGATCGCCGCGGCCGCTTCCCGGGTTCCGCGCTCCAGGCTGCGAGCAGTCCATCATGGCTGCCGCGGGCCGCACGCGGATGATGACACCTAGGTGTGCTGCATACTCCCGACTGCGTCGTGGGGAGGCCAACCTTGGAGAGCTGAGTGTGCGGCCCGCTGGCCGAGCGGGGCCCCGGAACTGGCCGGGTAGCCGGCACCGAGGCCCGATCGCTCAGTCTTGCGTCCCCGCTCCCGCACACAGGCATCTCTCGGGACAACTGGCACAAGCGCCGCAAGACCGGGGGTAAGAGAAAGCCCTACCATAAGAAGCGGAAGTATGAGCTGGGACGGCCTGCGGCGAACACTAAGGTGGGTGCCGTGATCGGGGGTCGCTTGTCTGAGCGCTCTGTCTGGGAGGCTGGGCATCGCACGTGTCCTCGTGCGGAGGGAAGTCCTGGAGAACACAGGGTCGGTGCACCCGCTCTAATGGGCATATGCTGGGGACCAGGTCTTGTAGGACGCCTAGGAGTGGGCTCCTTTTGTATTAGTCCTGTAACGTTGGGGCCTTTTTACTTTCTGTGCTTGCGGGGCCTGGCCTTTATTTTATTTTATTTTGGAGGTAATTGGAATGATGAAAAAGTATCCTTAGGCGTGGTTGTGGCCGTCTTGGTCACCTGTATGCCACTTGCCCGTGAAAGGACTCGTCATAGTTACACTGACTGTTACCTCCATTCTATCTAGCTCAGGTTTCTCTCCTGGTCCCCTCTCTTCGTGGTGACCACGTTCTGGCTTTCTTGTGTTTTCCAGATTGGCCCTCGTCGCATCCACACGGTCCGTGTGCGAGGAGGCAATAAGAAGTACCGTGCCCTAAGATTGGATGTGGGGAACTTTTCCTGGGGTTCTGAGTGTAAGTCCTTTGGCAGTATCAGAGTATTTAAATTTGCCGTGTGTGAAAGGAAGACCTTGAGGTAGCTGGAGAGTTCTTTTCCGATCTGATCTAATGCGTTCTGCAACGCAGGGTGCTTCCTAGAGATTGCTGAGAAAAGCTTTGAATTAAAGGAAAAGGTAGTGTGGGCCAAGAGTAGGGCGGCTGGGTAATCTGCCCTTCCTGAGATAAAGGACCCTGGGGAAGGGGGCACAGCCAGTGGTTGCTCTGTGTGCTAGAGGTAGGAGAGTGTGTGAGCGAGCGTGTGTTCGCTGGAACCAGGTACAAGTTAAGCAAGTACCTTGGTGTTGAGCTGCCTTCCCTGCCTCTAAATTGTGAATTTCCCTTGAGTGCAGGTTGTACTCGCAAAACAAGGATCATTGATGTCGTCTACAATGCATCCAATAACGAGCTGGTCCGCACCAAGACTCTGGTCAAGAACTGCATTGTGCTAATTGACAGCACACCGTACCGACAGTGGTACGAGTCCCACTATGCACTGCCCCTGGGCCGCAAGAAGGGGGCCAAGCTGGTGAGTTGCTTTGCTGCTGGAGGATGAGGGGGGGGCTGCCTTCTTGTGATGAAAATACTGTCCAGTTCTGCTACTGAAGGAAGGAGATGAACACTTGTGTGCTGAAGAAGGCAAGCGTCGGGATTTGCGGTTCGGGAAGACTCGGTGACTTTCCTGGTGACCAGTCATTTGTGTTTCTTTTTATTCAGACTCCTGAGGAAGAAGAAATATTAAACAAGAAACGATCAAAGAAAATTCAAAAGAAATATGATGAAAGGAAAAAGAACGCCAAGATCAGCAGTCTTCTTGAGGAGCAGTTCCAGCAGGGCAAGCTTCTCGGTAAGATAGATGCTGCTGTTGGGAGCGGGAGTTGGTGGTGTGGAGCTTTACCCTTGCTGCCGTTAGGTGTGAACGGTGGGGTTCAGAAAGCACGAGTGGAGATTGCTGCTTGCTGTGGGCCTGAGGGGGAAGCCGTGGCTGATGCCTGTCTCGGTGATGAGAACTTTGTCCAGTTCTGCTGCTGATGTCACAAGTGAGGATAAAGTGTATCTGAGGAGACAGTTGGCCTCACGCCTGCCCTTTGGGTATCAGACCAACTTGGTAGGTTGAGTGGGGCCTCTTTTACTAAGGACCACCTGTTCTCTTACAGCCTGTATTGCTTCAAGACCAGGCCAGTGTGGCAGAGCAGATGGCTATGTGCTAGAAGGCAAGGAGCTGGAGTTCTATCTGAGGAAGATCAAAGCCCGGAAAGGCAAATAGACCACCCGTCATAGCTCATGTAATAAAGGTGTTTATTATTCTGTATATATATTGTCTGAATGTGTGCCTAGGTTTTTTCCTGCTCCTCTGAGCAAAGCTGGACTCATCTTCACTGTCCTACCCATGCAACCATACTGTAAGACGTGGTGCCTAGTCCATTGAGAACAGTATTTAGAGTAAAGTCAGTGTTCTGGGTCTTTTTGTTTTTTGAAGCAGGGGTTCTCTGTAGAACAGCTCTAGCTGCCCTGGAACTAACTCTGGTAGGCCTCGAACTACTCACAGAGATCCATCTGCTAAGTGCTGGGATTAAAGGCATGTGCCACCACCATCTAGATTCCTGGGTCTTCTGGGAGCCTGGAGTACTTTGGTATAGAGGCTTGTGAGCTCTTTAGTGCTGAGCTCTCCAACAGTGTTGGTGTGCTTATATTGTCAGGCCAGAGAACTGTCCCTTTCCTTTGTAGACTTGGGTTTTTAGGGTTCTATTTGCATGTGTGTTAGGCGCTGGCCTGTATGAGTATTAAGCACATGGCTATACCTGCAATACCTGCAGCCTTGTTATGTGGTTCATGGGAAGTCTGGGGACTTGGACATTCTGTTGAGGATCTTGACAGTCATACAAGTTATAAGAGAAGATGTCTTCACAAGGTTAATAGTTTGGGGGACTTTTGAGGTAGTCTCAGAAGCTCCACACCAGGCTGATTTCAACTCAGTATCATCTACATCCTGGGTGCTGGATTAAAGGTATGCACCACCATGGTTACATGTTTTAACGTTTCCCAGAGAGGTTTAGCAGAAAAATGGGACTTTACCCAAAATCAGCTGTACACCCTAACCCAAGTGGTTGGCTACCCAGTGCAGGGTCTTCATGCTCATTAAGCAAACATTTTATCTGACGCTCCAAAGATCAAAGGTTTGGAGGTTTGTTTTGGTATTGTTTGTTTGTTTGGTTTGGTTTTTTGAGACATGGTTTCTCTGTGTACCTCTGAAGCCTGTCCTGGAACTCACTCTGTCCAGACTGGCTTCAGACTCAGAGATCTGTCTGCCTTCTGAGTTCTGGGATTAAAAGTGCAACACCACTGCCTGGCAGGTTTTTGGGTTTTGTTTGACAGGATTTCTCTGTGTGACAACTCTTTCCTGGAACTTTACCAGGCTTACCTCAAACTCAGAGATCTGCCTCTGCCCCCCTAGTGCTGGGGTTAAAGGTGTGCACTGTCCTGCATGAGATCAGGTTTTTGTTTTGAGAGGAGATGTTCTAAAACAAGATCTCTGGTCCTGGCTGTCCTGGATTTCAGATCCACATGCCTCTGACTTGTGAGATTAAAGGTATGTGCTATCACCCCCCAGCAAATTTTAGAGTTCACAGGGGACCTGCTTACAATTCCAGAGGGTTAATTTGTGGTCATTTTGGTGGGAAGCATTGCAGCAAGTGGGTATATCACCATAGCAGTAGCTGCATTTACAGCTGTCTGAAATGTAAGAGCCAGGGGATGGGTTTTTGATTTTTGAGAGAATTTCTCTGTAGTTCAGGCTGGTCTTGAACTCAGATCGCACCTGTCTCTACCTCCCGAGTGCTGTGATTGAATGTGTGTGCCACCACCGCCTGCCTTAACAATCTTTTTGTGTTGTTTTCCTATAGTCCTGGCTGCCCTTGAACCCAATATCTGTTTGCCTCTGCCTCCCGCATGCTGGGCTTAAAGGTGTGTACTCAGCTAACCCCAGGGCTTTATGGATATCAAATGAGGATTCTTCGTGAGCTGTATGTATCTCTAGCTGTCCCTCCCCACCTTAAGACCAATGGAATGTTTTAAGAAAGAGTCAAATTAAGCCCCCTTTTATTTGTTAAGCACTGACTGGCCTGGCAGTGTGGCACATACTTGTTTTTCCTTTTTTTAAATTTTTAGAAATTATTAATAAATAAATAATAAAAATTAAAAATATTCATCCTGCCTGTAGTCCAGAAGAGGACACTCATAGGTGGTTGTGAGCCACCACATACATGGTTGCTGGGAATTGAGCTCAGAATCTCTAGAGAATAACAGTGCTCTTAACCGCTGAGCCATCTCTCTTTTTATTTTTAACTTTATTTCATGCGCATTGGTATAACAATATCAGATTCTCTGGAACTGGAGCTAGAGACATCTGTGAGCTGCCATGTGGGTGCTGGGAATTGAACCCAGGTCCTCTGGAGGAGCAGTCAGTGCTCTTAACCACTGAGCTGTCTCATCAGCCCCCTCTGGTGTTTTTGTTTTGTTTTTGAGACAGGGTTTCTCTGTAGCTTTGGAGGCTGTTCCCTACAACTCACTCTGTAAACCAAGCATGACTCACACTTTTAATCCTAGCAGTTGGGTGAATCTGAGTTCAAGGTCAGCCTGTTCTACAGAGTGAGTTCCAGGACTACACAGTGAATCCCTGTTTTGAGAACAGTATTCTCCGTCATTAACATCCACAAAAACATTTAGCATTAGTTATCACTGCTGTGCTATTGTCTGCACATTTAAGATTTGGATAAATGGCTCAGCCTGTGTAAACACTTGTCACACAAGCCTGATCTAAATTTGATTTCCAGAAGCACAGGGGCTGATTCTTAAAACCTCCTGTCTGCCTCCCAAGTGCTGAGGTTAAAGGCGTGCACCACCACTGCCTGGTGTTGGTGTTTTTAATTGCCTTTGAGATGTCGCCACTGATAAAGGCTTGTGGTGCCGGTCCTGATGACCTGAGTCCAGTCCCTGGAACCCACAGTGTAGAAGGATGGAACTGGGTCTCCAACACTGATAAATGTATAGTTTTCATTTTGAAAACTGGAGAGGGCAGCCAGGCAATGATTCACAGTGAGCCAATGGCTTTATTCTCATAAATAAAAAGCGAGCATTGCAAATAAAGGCCCCACAGCACAGCCACTGACCTGCCTTCAGAGTGAGGTTACTATGGTAAGGAATGTGTCTTTTCATTTTTTTTCACGGCTTTGTTTCTAAAAGAGCTGTCCCAGGCCAGCAGTCCACCCAGCATCTACACAAAACTGGAAATGCCACTTCGTGAGCTCAGTGCTAAATCAAAGGCAGCACAGAGGCCAGGTTGGACATCAGGCCAGACTTTTCTAGGGATGCTGGCATTCCCCCAATGTTTTGGGCGTAGCTCCCCAGTGCCTGAAAGTGTAACCTTGCCTCTGTGTTCTAACCCTATGTATTTGGCCTTTTCTTTATTCTAGCTTCCCCCCCAAGCAATCTATCCCACTATCACACTAAAGGAGATAAACCCTACCCCCAGCTCTAACTCCTTGCCATCTTTGCTTTCAAGGGCTGTCCCCAAATGTTTTCCCCAGTGGAAAAGTTGCTCCAAATGCAACTGGGGAAGAAGGCAGGGTGGTAGTCACCGGCAGAAGGGCTTCTTAAGGTTCCAGGGCTTCATCCCCAGATTCTTCAGCCTCATCTATACGGCTTGCAGCCTCCTCGACACCCAACTCGGTCCGCAAGCGAAGCAGGTGCGGGGTCCTGGGGGCACCGCGCGCTCGGCCGAAGTTCCGCAGGCTTACAGCTGGTGACAGTGCTCCTGTGCCTAGGAAGCGGCCCAGTAGCGGGGTCTGCGTGGAGGGTGCTGGCAGGTCGGACCTTGGGGACGCCTCCACCTGCAGGCACTGCTCAGGGTCGTCGCTCATGCTGCCAGTGCCAAAGGAACATAGACAAGTATTGACTCTCGGTGTACTTGTCTGTATCCTCATAGGGTGCCCAGGGACTAGGCACCAGTTTCCGGGTCAAATCCCGACTCACCGCAGGTTGAAGGTGGAACCCAGAAAGGAAGGACGCAGTGACTCGGCGGCTGTGGCCACTGTATAGGGTGGCTGAGGTTGGGCCTCATCCCAGTACTGATCTTTCTCGGCAGGGGGCAGGTTCTGGTACATGTCATCCACAGAGAGCAGGGACACCTGAGCCAGCAGAAGGGCAGACAGTAAGCCACAACTGTTTCTCCTCTGCACACCTGGCTGTCTGCCCCGTCGTCCCGTCGTCCCCCCCCCCCCCCCCCCCATCCCCCACCCCACACCTAACCTGCAGGTTTCGATCTATGAGCTGGTTGGTCTCAAAGTCATCGTCATCCTCACCAAAGGGGTTAATGAGCTGTTCAGCTACCTATGAATTGGAGAAACGGTGTCTTTGGGGCGCAGAACTCCCTCCCCTCAACTACTCAGCATTGCAGTGTGATAGTGATTATCCATGACTGTCTACAGAGTAGAATGCTTTACCCACCTTGAGCCAACCAGCATAAAAGAAAAACTGCAGCAATGTGGTAAGAGGCACGAACATGTCCAGGTCCCCCAGGGCTGGAGAGGGCCCCTTCCCTGGATCCTGAGACTCCTGAAGTTTGGCAGCCCCTGTTTCTGGCTCCACAAACTGTCGACCCACCAGGGAAAGGGCAAAGAAGGAATACACAGCTATCGTCACCACCTGAAGAAAAAGCAAGGGTCAGAGCACCCTGGGACAGAAAGAAAGTCTGTCCCTGCTTTTGAGGGCCTGGAGAGGTCTGCCGAGTGATTCAGTATGGACTACTGGGCGACAGTAGCAATAGAGACAAATCTTGTTTTCACTCTTTAAGACAGGGTCTCTGTGTAGCCCTGGTTGCACTGGATGGAGCTTGTTAATGTAGACCAGGCTGTCTTCGAACTCACAGAGATCCACTGTCTCCCAAGTGTTGGAATTAAAGATGTGTGCCACCATGTCTGGCAGGACAGGATCATCTTTTTTGTTTTTGTTTTTCAAGATTTTCTCTGTGTAGCCTGCTGACCTGAAATCTGCCCTGCAGACCAGGTT